CTCTGAGCTAACATCTATTGCCAATCCTCCTCCTTTCCCCCCCCCCCAAAGCCCCAGTAGATAGTTGTATGTCACAATTGCACATCCTTCTAGTTGCTGTATGTGGGACGCAGCCTCAGCATGGCCGGAGAAGCGGTGCGTTGGTGCACGCCCAGGATCCGAACCCGGGCTGCCAGTAGCGGAGCACGTGCACTTAACTGCTAAGCCACGGACGGGGCTGGCCCTCTGGTGAATTCTACCAAAGATTCAAAGACGATTTAATACCTATCCTCTCAAAGTCTTCCAAAAAATTGAAGAGGACGGGACGATTCCTAATTCATTTTACGCCAATATTACCCTGATACCAAAACCAGACAAGGACAACACAAAAAAGGAAAACTACAGGCCCATATCGCTGATGCACTTAGATGCAAAAATCCTCAACAAAATATTAGCAAATCAATTACAACAATACATTAAAAGGCTCATACACCACAATCAAGTGGGATTTATTCCAGGCCCAAGGATGGCTCACCATCTACAAGTCAATCAAGGTGATTCACCACATTAACAAAATGAAGAATAAAAATCACATGATCATCTCGAAACAGAAAACCTCTGACAAGATTCAACATCCCTTTATGATAAAAGCTCTCAATAAAATGCGTACAGAAGGAAAGTACTTCAACATAATAAAGCCCATATATAACACACAGCCAACATCATATTCAATGGTGAAAAACTGAAAGCTATTCCTCTAAGAACAGGAAGAAGACATGGGTGCCCACTCTCACCACTCTTATTCAACACAGTATTATAAGACGCAGCCAGAGCAATTAGGCAAGAAAAAGAAATATTGGAAACACTGGAAAGGAAGAAGTAAAACTGTCACTATTTGCAGATGACATGATTCTATATACAGAAAACCCTAAAGAATCTACCAGAAAACTATTAGAAATAAATAACAAGTACAGCAAAGTTGCAGGGTACAAATTCAACATACAAAAATCAGTGGCACTTCTATACACTAACAGTGAACTAGCAGAGAGAGAAGTCAAGAATACAATCCCATTTACAACTGCAACAAAAAGAACAAAATACCTAGGAATAAATTTAACCAAGGAGGCAAAAGACCTACACACTGAAAATATAAGACATTACTGAAAGAAACTGAAGAAGATATACAGAAATGGAAAGATATTCTGTGTTCATGGATTGGAAGAATAAATAGAGTTAAAATGTCCATATTACCTAAAGCAATCTACAGATTCAATGCAATCCCAATCAAAATCCCAAGCACATTTTTCACTGAAATAGAACAAGGAATCCTAAAATTTATATGGAAGAACAAAAGACCCTGAACAGCCAAAGCAATCCTGAAAAAAAAGAACAAAGCTGGAGGTATCACATTCCCTGATTTCAAAATATACTACAAAGCTAGAGTAATCAAAACAGCATGGTATTGGCAGAAAAATAGACAAACAGATCAATGAAACAGAATTCAGAGCCCAGAAACAAACCCACACACCTACGGAGAACTAATTTTCAACAAAGGAGTCAGGAACATAAAATGGAAAAGGAAAGTCTCTTCAATAAATGGTGGTGGGAAAACTGGACAGCCACATGCAAAAGAATGAAAGTAGACCATTATCTTATACATACATAAAAATTAACTCAAAATGGATTAAAGACTTGAATGTAAGACCTGAAACCATACACTCCTAGAAGAAAATATAGACAGGACACTCTGTGACGTTGGTCTTAGCAGTATCTTTTTGAATATCATGTCTCCTCAGTCAAGGGAAACAAATGAAAAAAATAAACAAATGGGACTACATAAAACTAAAAAGCTTCTGAATGGTAAGGAAACCATGAAGAAAATGAAAAGACAACCCACCAACTGGAAGAAAATATTTGCAAATCATATTATCTGATAAGGGGTGAATATCCAAAATATATTAAAAAACTCATATAACTCAACAACAAAAAAATGAACAACTGGATCAAAAAATAGGCAGAGGATATGAACAGACATTTTTCCAAAGAAGATATACAGATGGCCAACAGGCACATGAAAAGATGTTCAACATCACTAATTATTAGGGAAATACAAATCAAAACCACAATGAGATACCACCTTACACCTGTCAGAATGGCTGTTATTAAAAAGAAAAGAAATAAGTGTTGAGGAGGATGTATAAGAAAAGGAATGCTCATACACGGCTGGTGGGAATGTAAATTGGTGCAGCCACTATGCAAAACAGTATGGAGATTCCCCCGAAAATTAAAAATATAAAATACCATATGATCCAGGTATTCTACTTCTGGCTATTTATCCAAAGAACAGAAAAACACTAATTTGAAAAGATATATGCACCCCTACGTTCACTATAGCATTATTCACAACAGCGAAGATTTGGAAGCAACCTAAGTGCCCATCAATGGATGAATGGATAAAGATGTGGTATATATAGACACAACAGAATACTGCTCAGCCATAAAAAAGGACGAAATAGTGCCATTTGCAACAACACTGATGGAGCTTGAGGGTATTATGCTAAGTGAAATAAGTCAGACAGAGAAAGACAATTACCATATGAATTCCTATGTGGAAGATAAGCAAACACACACACACATATATAGGGAGAATAGACTGGTGGTTACCAGAGGGGCAGGAGGTAGGGGTGGGGGGCAAAAGGGGTAAAGGGCACATGTGTATGGTGACAGATGGAAACTAGACTTTTGGCAGTGAACACAATGCAGTCTGTACAGAAGTCAAAATATAATGACATACACCTGAAATTTACAAGTTATAAACTGAAGTGATCTCAAGAAAATAAATAATAATTAAAAAAAGAATCAAAACTAGGAGAACTTCACAGTTACCTCCAAATATTTCCTATCAATTTTAGTAGTACACCTTATATACATGCTTTGGTTTATTGTCATAAACACCTTTAATACTAGCTTTGAATATAGATAAGTTAAATAGTTGTTCTTTTTGGTATCACAATCCAAGATACTACTTCTGCTTCTTCTGAAATAAAAGTTATTAGAAGAAAATTTTAATTATTTATATAATTAGGAAGTATCCTTTTGCCTTCTAATATTATTTCATAAGTTCAGTTTAATACAATAAGACATAAAAATAAGGTATAATTATTGGAAAGACAACAAAAATATCATTAGAAATGGTAAGACTGTACTATACATCTAAAAAAACCTTTGATAATGACCTGGAAAGCTATCTAAATAAGAGTTCTGTAAAGTGACTGAATATAAAATGAGTATTCAAGGATCAATTCCTTCTGAATGGTAACACTAACCAATTAGATATACATTTAAAAGTTGCCAATTCTTCCCACATTAATTTATAGGTTTAGCACAATAGCCATAAAAATCCCAAGAGCAATATTTAAACATTTGATTAGTGATTTAAAAATCCACTTAGAAGAATGGTTAAAGATAGAAATTTTTGAACTATGGCAATGAGAAGAAACTAACCCTAATATAAAAACATATTAAATATTCCAAAACTTAAAAAGTATAGAACTAGCACAAATTAGACTGAACAGCCCATAGAGTATAGTTAAATATCTAAAACGTTTAATTCATTTGTCAACAGATGATAAAAAAGATGTGGCAATCAATGGAAATGTCTAACATTGTTCAAAAACTAGTAACCGGACAATTGGTCTTCTATTTGAAGGCAGAGGAGATACACTTAAATGCTACCTCACAGCACACAGCAAAACAAATTCCAGTTGGATTAACAATGAATAAAAAAACCCACCACAAAAAAGTAGAAGAAACAAAAGAAATATTTACGAACTATATTCAAAGAGGAGGGTTTCTAAGGTTAAAAATGAGAGAATGACTCCACATAAAGACTGATATGTTTAACTACATAAATCTCAAACTGCTAATTGTTTTAAAAAATAACTTTATTAGAGAAAGCTCATACAAATAAGTAAAACACTTTGACTCTAATTTTAAAAAAGGAAAGACAAAAGAAATAAAGAGACAACTACAAAAAAGGAAGTACAACTGCATAATAAGTATATGAAAAAATGTTCTCTATCATTAGGAATTAAGGCAAGATGTAATATTTTATCTTGCCATTTTTCATTTATGAAATCAGTAATGATTTTTAAGAAATAATACTCAATTTGAATAAGACTCATTGAAATAATCTAATACATTAATTCTGAGAGTATGAAAGCAATCTGGCAATATAAACCATTAAATATTAAAATATTCTATACCTTTAACTGAATAATCACTATTCTGCGGATCCAAAGAAAATATTCCTAAATACATATTTTTAAAAGTTATTTCTACTTTTTAGTTTAAAATTACTTTTTTCTCATTTTAGAAGTAATGAGAAGTATATTGTAAAAATTAAAAAATAAAAACAAGGAAAAATCCCCCAAAATAAAATTCCATCCCAGAAATAACCACTCTTCACACTTTCAACTTACCCACCTTTTTTCCCCACTTAAAATATTATGAACAGAAGCAACAACACCAACAAAAAGCGCACCCAGTGCCCAAATCTTGGTTTTAATACTATGCTCGATTAAAAGGAACCAGGGCTCCTAGAGACATGGCTGATTCTAGGGCTGGAGTAGGGAATATAGAAGATAAGCCTGGGGCATCCTGTAGTGCCACAAAGTAAGGAAATATTCAAAAAAGCAAAACATTGGGGAATGTCAAAGAGACACAGGAGCCAAGTGAAAGAACTCCACTGGCCAAACCTGGCCAATCTGGGCAACAAAATAAGTAACATACTACTGGATTATAACTCAAAGCACAAATAAATATCCATGAGTCCATACTGATACAAATAAATGACTGAATAAATAAATAAATGGAGGAGAAAAGACAACTCTCCCATAGAGAAGAATCCCAAATAACTTATGTAGATGCTGCTCCTTCAAGAAGGTGGAGCATAATTCCCCACCCCTTAACTGTGGGCTGTGCATAGTAACTTCCTTCTCAAGAGTCAGTATGAAAAGGGGGGAAAAAAGAGTAACTTTACAGCAGAGAAACCTGTAACCAAATCTTTTGTAAGGGTCATTTTGTAATAGGAATAAAAGCCTAAAAGAAAAGAAAATCTCTACGTACAGCAATTAAATACATTAGAAAGCAACCTACCTCCAGTTTAAAAGCCAGGCCTACAAATGGGTGGGAATTGTCTCTTTTGGAGTTCATTAAGATTTTGGTTTTTTCTTCTGAGTCACTTAAAAGAAAAGAAATATAAACCTATGAGAAGCAATATTTGATATTTCTTTTACATCAATTTGTTTCATCAAAGAGTATTATCTGAGAAAAAGCACACCTGCTAAACATTTCTGACCTCACACATAGGTGAAATTTCATTGAAAGAGATCAATAAGAATAACTTCTTTGGGCTTAGTTACTACACTGTGACAGGACCAGAGTAGACTAAAAAACACAGAAATTATCTGGTAGAGAAAGGAAAGAAAAATAATCAACGAGTGCTTAATAAAGTTTGTTTCTTAAAGGAACGATTTCTTTCATATTGCATAAGTGTTAAAGTATTTCTGTATAAACTAAGAATCAATTGGCAAGACTTACTCCTCCTGATTGAGAATAGCATAATTCTGGACTTCAGATGGATTTGGTAGATAGTCTAAAACAGCATCTAAAAGAGGCTGGACGCCTTTGTTCTTCAAAGCACTTCCCAAAAAGACAGGAGTAAATGACCTATTTAGAGTAGCTCTTCGGATTGCAAGCTACAAAAGAAAAAAATTTAATGATTAATCTTAAAAATCACATTTTTTGTTTCAGAGCATATAAACCAACAAAGGAATGAAGTCAATTGATATTCTTTGGAGTAGTGGCTCTAGTGGAGATTAGAATCAGGTTTTCTATAACTTAAGGTCAAAATATAAACAAACAAACAAACAAAAAATCAATTCCTTTTTCAGGGCTAGGAAGCTATTTACTGTACAACTGCTTTCAACATTCTTGGAATGTCACTAATTTTAAATTTGGCAAAATATATATATATATATATATATATACACATATAGAAAATAGATACATACACAGAACAGTGTGAACAGTATGCTAACAACTGTGCAAAATAGAGGGAAAAGTAATATATACGCAAATAAAAAATCTCTGGAAAGACACAACAGAAACCACTAACTAGTAACCTGTTTCAGGGAGGGGGCAGAGAACTGGGCAGATGGGAGACAGGTGGGAGATTTTTTTTTACTGTGTATCTTGCATACTTTTTAAATTTTAAACCATATAAAAGTACTCTCTATTAAAAAAACACTATTATTTGGGCCGGCCCCGTGGCTTAGCAGTTAAGTGCGCGCGCTCCGCTCCTGGCGGCCCGGGTTCGGATCCCGGGTGCGCACCAACGCACTGCTTCTCTGGCCGTGATGAGGCCGCGTCCCACATACAGCAACTAGAAGGATGTGCAGCTATAACATACAACTATCTACTGGGGCTTTGGGGGGGGGGGTGGGAAACAAAACACTATTATTTAATATTTTTTTTTAAAAAACATACATACAGGAAGTCCAACAGTACAGACCACTCATCATAAACGGCAATGAGAATAACAGGCTCTACAATCATGACCTCCAAGCTTTAGTGCAATCCTACCAGTGAGCCCCAGCTGCATCCTCAGGTGCCCAACTGGTCAGCAGGCCTCTGAGAGTAAGCAGTGGAGCTTTAACTCTCGCAGCTGAAAGAGGCCAAGGGCAGCACTGTGGCTACAACCTGCCACTGCAAAAATATGGAGCCAGCATACAATTATTTCTCAGTCCTCATGAAAAAATAAAAAACTAGTTACCCCCTTGGGGCCAGCCCGGTGGCGCAAGCAGTTAAGCGCTCCACTGCGGCAGCCCGGGGTTCGCTGGTTCAGATGCCAGGCGCACGCCGATGCACTGCTTGGCAAGCCATGCTGTGGCGGCGTCCCACATAAAGTGGAGGAAGATGGGCATGGAGGTTAGCCCAGGGCCAGTCTTCCTCTGCAAAAAAACAGGAGGATTGGCAGATGTTAACATAGGGTTGATCTCCTCACAAAAAAAAAACCAAAAAAACGTTACCCCCAAAAAGCTTAAAGCAAAACATTTATAACCAAAATTTCTAAACGTCACCACGATGAAAAGTAGGATACAGCTAGCATGATAAAAGAGGGTATAATGGGGAAAAATATGCATGGCAAGAAAGCAATTACTATTTGAAACTATCCTAAAAATTAGCTCTTGCTATTGCTAGGAACCAGAAATGGCTAGGTCAGTAACTACTGAGGCTACCCAAGCCACACAGTCACATCTTTGACCTTCCAACCCTCCCTTATAAGCAAGTAGGGGCATATAAGAATGTTACCACACTTACTTTATATCCATTGGATAGAGAAACACATGAGAGTGACAGACAAATAGAAAAACTATTCCTATACCAGCCTAAAAAAAGCTATCATTTTCCCAAAATTTTCCCTTGTTTTCATAAGAATCACTTTCACACTTGAAAGTTGCTGCCTTTCCACTGTCCCTAATAATAATATATCCAACAAACAGACACTAAAGTACACCCATGTATCCTGTGCAGAAAACAGTAAACACAGCAGGACTGAAAGTGCTATCCTTAGAAAGGCCTGCTTCAAGGCTGGCCCCTGGCTGGTGTCTGGGAACCCTCCCAGCATTCCCAAAACTGGTAAGACTGGCTCACTGTGCCTATACTATTTATACAGTGTGGTGTATGCTAAACACCTGCTTTCTTTCTGGGAGTCCGGAATTTGGAGCATGCCAGGCAGAGGGTGTCATGTGACCAGCCCACAATAAAACCTTGGGCACTGAGTTTCTGATGAGCTTCCCTCATCAGGTAGACGACTGCGTCACAACCTGCCACTGGAGGAATCAGGCATGCCTACATGACTCCACTGGGAGAGAACTCTTGGACGCTTACACGTGGTTTCTTCTGGACTTCACCTCATGTGGCTTCACCCTCTGCTGATTCTGCTGTGTCCTTTCTCTGTAATAAATCACAGCCCTAAGGGTGACTATTTCCTGAGTTCTGTGAGTCCTCCTGGTCAATCACTGAACCTGGGGGTGGTCATGGGGACCTCTTTAAACATTCTGTTTAATGGATAAAAACCTAACTCTCTATTGTGGTTCCCAGGACACAACACTTGACTTTATTTAAGGCCAGACTTATACCTTCCTATATGGTGTCCCTTACTCATCAGAGAACGGCAGTGGCAAGGCCTCTGTGAGTGGTCAAGGACTAAACTGACGAGATACACTAGGAAACATCCTCAGCTTCAACAGGGTTCTCTCCTTGTGCATCTATCTATAAACTCCACAAGTGCAATGCTTTACACACAATAATCACATATCTGATCTCTCCCACGCGCATGAAGTGGTTAGACAAAATGAATATCAATCTTTTTTTATAATGATAAAATGTACATAAAATTTACCATTTTAACCATTTTTAAGTTTACAATCCAGTGGCATTAAGTACATTCACACTGCTATGCTATTATTACCACTATCCATCTCCAGAACTTCTTCATCATCCCAAATTGGAACTCGATACCCACTAAACTCCCCATTCTGCCCCTCCCCAGCCCCTGATAACCACTATTCTACTTTCTGTCTCTAGGAATTTGATTATTCTGTGTACCTCATATACATGGGATCAAACAATATTTGTCCTTTTGTCTAGCTTCTTTCACTTAGCATGTCTTCAAGGTTCATTCACATTGTAGCATGCATCAAAATCTCCTTCCTTTAAGGCTCAATAATATTCCATTGTATGTATATACCAATTTTGTTTACCCATTCATCCACTGCTGGACATTCGGGTTGTTTCCACCTCTTGGCTATTGTGAATAGCGCTGCTATCAACACTGGTGTACAAGTATTTGTTTGAGGCCCTGTTTTCAATTCTTTTGGGTGTACAGAAGTGGAATTGCTGGATCATATAGTTCTGTTTAATTTTTTGAGGAACCGCCATACTGTTTTCCATAGCAGTTATATAATCATTTTACATTCCCACCAGCAATGCACAAGGGTTCCAATTTCTCCACATCCTTGCCAACACTTACTATCTGCTTTTTTTTTTTAAATAATAGCCATCCTAATGGATGAAGTAGTATCTCATCGTGGTTTTGATTTGCTTTCCCTAATGGTTAGCAACGTTGAGCATCTTTTCATGTGCTTATTGGCCATTTGTTATCTTCTATGGAGAAATGTCTATTCAAAAACTGAATACCGGTCTTAGGAGGCATCGTCTCTTTATTTTTAAAGAGTTGATCAAGTAAAGGAAACTATACAGCCTTCCAAACAGTACAACAGTGTAAGTACCAACATTTAGTCAGCAAACATTTAGCAGCCTTGTTTCTTAACCTGTCTTATCACTGTAACATTTCTATATTTATCTTCTTTCTTTTTAATAAAGATATACTCAAGAGGTTAGCTATTTAAGTATCTTTTTTTCTACAACAAACTATGACTCTTTTTCCATCTTAAAATATTACATAACTTACTACTTAAAAAAAAAAAAGAGCAGCATCAAGCCATGCTGTGGTGGCATCCCATACACCAAATAGAGGAAGATGGGCATGGATGTTAGCTCAGAGCTGGTCTTCCTCAGCGAAAAAAAAAAAAAAAAGAGTAATATGCCATGTCAAGTATTTTTTGAAGAAACCAATTATTTTAAGTAATTTACTCAGATTTCATGAATAAAACCCATGCATAAAAGCATCATGTCTCGTTCCTGCAAAAAAACAAAAAACAACCATCTTTTTTTTGTTAATATAAGACTTATTTTGAGAGCACTTGCCTTTATATCAGAAATTGAGGGGATTTTTTCTTCCAGGAACATCTCACCAAGCTGCTCATCTGAATTAGCAACACATTCGATCAGCTCCCGCCGGTGGTCAGCGGCTGCTGTGCGGAACTCTGCTGGGATGTCTCCATACCGAACAACTTGACTGAGAAAAGAAACGCTTTACTTTGGTACTTTAAGGATACTCAATTAAACATATAAAGCACCAATGAAAAAGACAAATCAACGGCTAAAATGTTTTTCAGAAGAGAAAGAGCTCTGACATATTTGCAATAAACCAGCAAATAAGACTAATGTATATCTTTAAAATTCAGACAGAATAGTGGGCAAAATACTTCAAACAGGCAAAGCAAATTGCTCAAGGTTGTACTACTAGTAAACGGAAGAGCCAAGATCCAAGCCAGTCTGACCCCAAGGCCCATATGGGCACATGAAGATTTTATTAACCAAATGAGTCAGAACATCACAGTCTCTAACAAGCAGAATTAGAGACCTGACTCTATTCCTTCCCATTAATAACAAACCCAATCACATAATTTTTAACTCCGAATAACCCATTTTTTAGTAAAAAAACAAAAAAGGTTACTAAATATGCAGACTCTTCAACCTTGATCCTAGTTCTTCATTCCTCCAGGGGCAGAATATGTAACAGTCACAAATAAAATATATACAACCGACAAATGGATATACTTGACATTTAGAAACATCAGACTGAAAGCTTTCAAAGTATTTCTTTAAAAATGGAAACTAATGTGAAATAATAACCTTTTCAGAAAACACATTTCTAAATAAAAAAAGTAAAAGCCAATTGCAAATGATCAGAAAATAATTCTTATTATCCTAAAGAATGCTCTTCACAGCCTTCCAGGCTCAATTTCTTCCTTCCTTCAAGCTCCCTGTTCTTAGGCTTTCACGTGAGAATCATCTGTGGAGTCCTTTCAAAATATACATACCCAGTGGTCTAGGGCTAGGAAAAGGGGCAGGCATATTAAGAAGTTCCATCTGTGGGTCTGATGTACAACAAAGTTTACAAGCCTTTACTTTAGAAGACAGAAATGTGTGCCTCGGTAATTCTGGGGAAGTGGATTTATTCGTTTACTTACAAATATTTTTTGAGTCCCTATTATGTCCCAGACTGTTCTAGGGCTAGGGACATGCAGAGAATAAATCAGACAAACATCCCTGTCCTCTTGAGCCTTAACGTTCTAAGGAATGACACAAACTTTGTTGTTGTCACACAAAAAGTAAGAGGAATGCCTCATGTACTGGACAGCCTCCATCTTTTCCCTGCCCACTGGACGGCTGATGAGATAAACTCTACAGTTAGCTGATCACAAGGCCCTCCACCCATCTGCCAGACCAGCTATCCAGCTCCACAGCAGAGAAAGGAAATCCCTCAAGAAGTACCTTTGGAGACCCTGCCCAGGCTGTTGGGGCCACTCTTCAGAACAAATGGTCATTTATGACTCCCCACACTGTCTAGATTACTGCCACTCAAAGTGTGGTCTGCAGACTTGCAACATCAGCATCACCAGGAAGCTTTCCAGAAATGCAAATTCCAAGCCCCACCCTAGATCTACTGAATCAGACTCTCCGAAGGTGGATCCAGGAATATGTGTTTTAACAAGCTCTCCAGGTGATTTTTCTGAATGCTGTGGTTTGACAACCACCAGGCAATTACAGTGCTTCGTATGCAAAGGTCACTCAAAAGTTGACCGATAGAACAAATGTCATGTCCAAGTTACCAATTTGCTTCTTGACTGCCCAAACCACATCTGTACAATTTTTAACTGCTTTTACATATTAATCTTTTTATCTTTGTAATCTCATGAAGTAGGTAGAGAAAATATTTATGATCCCTATTTTCTTCACGGTTTTTATCACAAGACCCAGGACATAGCAGCTGCTCCATAAAAGTCTGCAGAGTGAATGAAATGAAATGAATGAATGAATGAATGAATAAGTGCAAAAAGAAATATTACGTTACTAGCTCAAGCTGAAGGCGTCCTTCCACCACACCAGGCATGTCATAATGTGATATAAAAGTATTACCGAAAAAGTAACATACTCTCCCTTGGGATGAATACTAAGCAAAACAGGAAGAAATTAGGAGTAAAGGCATTAGAACAGAATCATCTTAGAGGATATTCTTCCAGCCACATTTCAAAAAGATGTTTACTCTATGTTTAAAGAACTCATTCTTTTCTTTCTCTTTGAGATTTTTTAAAATGTAAGATTTTAATACTATATTTTTAACACTTACCCAAAGTCTCCATCAAAATAGATGGCTCGTTCCTCAATAAGATCTATAATACCTTTAAAATCACCCTCCAAACCAATGGGTATCTGCACAAATGCTGCATTATGACTTAGTTTAGACCTGAAAAATAAAATAAAATAACATATGTTTACCTCTTTTTTCTCCCTAAATCTCTTTGAAATGACAAAATAAATATAAGAAGAAATCAATGGCAGATGAGGTAGAACTGGGAAGGGTCACCAGCAGGTCAGAACAGAAGACATAAAGCAGTCAGGAACAGACTGACAACCAAACTCATTGTGCTCAGGAAGCTACAACACTATTTAGGCAACAAAAAGAACTTTAAAAAAAGCGTTTTCCCATCATATCCCCAGCATAGCCTGGATCTGAACTAGAAGGGGGAAGAACAGGTCAATGGGTGGTTGGCCAGGAAATTTAAGGATGGTGGAAATCATACTCACCAGCAGAGAGTCTCCTTTGAAAAGAAGTGCTCCAGCTACCAATGTTCAGTCTAGACTCTAGGCCCCCATTTGTAACTATGGATAGATAACTAAGAATCACCAATATTCCAAGGAAACCAATAGCTTGAAAGAGAAGTGTGAGCTCAAGAAATAGAACTAACCTCCAAGGAGAGAGCTACTAGAAGAAAATAAAGTGTAAAGATCTGAGAAATAATAAATAATAATAAAGATGTTGCAGTAAAAGAGAAAGTTTATGGAAATTAACTATACAATTGCTGAAATTAAAAAGATAAAAAACAGGAAGAATAACAGAAGGGATGCAGATGAACATCAAAGTAGTGAGGTGGAAGACTGACCTCAAGAATTCTCTCGTAACCCAGCGCAAAATGAGACAGAAAGTATGGTAGAAAAGTTAAGACGTGGAGGCCACATTCAGGAGTTTCAAAATCAGTTTACTGTGAGTTACAAAATGAGAAAACAGATAAAAGAGAGTGAAGCAAAGAACCAAAGAAGTAAAACAACACCGTATCATCTGTCACTGGACACATCACTCATAGTCTCTCCACTACCACAAACCTGACTGCCTATATCCACCAGCTCCGCCACGTGAAACTTGAGTGGGAACTCTACAGCTCCACTTGCACATCTATAAAAGGTGAAGAGTGCAACTTCGACTGTTTTCAAGGCTACGTGAAACATACAGTATTGTGCAAAATGTAAGATGCTACAACCACCACTGGGTTATACCTGGTACAGAAAGGAAGTGCTACTGCTATCTTAGCAAATATGTTACCACATGAAAGCAAGGGAACAGAGCATACTATTTAAGGGCATTAATTAAAATTACTCAAATAAAGGTTAAAACTGAAGATGATCTTTTAGGTTTGTTTAAATAAATGCAATTACTTTTAGAACCTAGCCAGCCCTGGTGGTCTAGAGGTTAAGATTCAGCACTCTCACTGTGCAGCCCAGGTTCATTTCTGGTCAGGAAACCACACCACACATCTGTCGGGTGTCATACTGTGGCAGCTGTGTGTTGCTGTGATGCGGAAAGCTCTGCCACAAGTATTTCAAATACCAGCAGGGTCACCCACGGTGGACAGGTTTCACTGGAGGTTCCAGAATAAGACTAGGAAAAAGGACCTGGCCACCCACCTCCGCGAAAACTGGACATGAAAACCCTATGAATAGCAGCGGAGCACTGTCTCATGTAGCGCTGGAAGGTGAGAGGATGGCGCAAAAAGACACTGGTCTGCCATACTCAGGGTCCCTAGGAGTCGGAATCAAGTCGACAGCACTAACAAACTTTTAAAATCTACTCTAGATTATAACTTCTCTAATTATAGCAAAACAGTAATTGCCAGACAGTCTTCTGAATTCACCTTCAACAACTCTACTATTTAAGTCATATTTTCACCATTTTGCAGAGAAGGTAGCTGATGAGATGACACCATAAACCAAACTACTGACCTTGGTGTTCCATTTACTAAGATAAGTCACTCACATAAATAAATTTTTAAAAGGAAAAAAAATTTAAGGATAAAGCTCAATGACACTGAATCAACTGCCCTTTCAGATGTAAGGTTTGTTATCCAGATTGCCACACCCCCTCTGTCCTTTCTGAGGCTCAGTACCTCATTTGCTGTAGGGCCCTGGCTGGGTTGGAGCCCGTGCGGTCCAGTTTGTTAATGAAAGTTAGAAATGGAACGTTGTAGCGCTTCATTTGACGATTAACAGTCATGGTCTGGCACTGCACCCCTCCGACAGCACAGAGAACAAGGATGGCACCATCCAACACTCTCAGGGCCCTTTCAACTTCTATTGTGAAGTCCACATGCCCTAAATGAGACAAAGAATTGTGGCAGAATCTTCAAGAGCAGTCTGATTTTTTATAACATGCACAAATAAAAGTTTTTGTATCTCTGTTCATGACATAAGTCTTCTAATCAGAATGTGGATTTCTTAAACCACCCATACCATTCACCCAGCATAAGGTCCAGGAACCCCACAAGATCACTTCAGAAAGCTACCAGGACATGGGCACCTTTGGGATCAGCTGCAACACATAAAAGGCAAAAACCTTCCTACTCACAATTTATTTGCACTATTTTTCAAGGAGACTGCATAAGGATGAAGTGCTCTAGGTTCCAAGTCAGATTTCCCTAACAGGAAGTCACAGTCACACTTTTGAGTATTATTTGATACTCAACAATGAGCTGGGTCATAGTAGAGAAAAGAACTAAATGTGCTTTTGCCAAAAAAAGCTGCAATAAAACCAAGAACTCAACTTACCAGGAGTATCTATAATGTTAATATTGACGTCTTTCCACATGGTATAGGTGGCCGCTGACTGAATAGTGATTCCTCTTTGTCTCTCTAGCTCCATGGAATCCATGACAGCACCAACTCCATCTTTACCTTTCACCTAAACACAAGCACAGCAATTCAGATTTCCCTGTCCCTGTATTCCAAGAAGGAAAGAAATCTTTACTGAGATGGAATTAGAACACAGATAGTTAACTGATGCAATTTTCAAAGAAGCCTAATCATCAAACTATATCATCTCATGAAATAGAAAACTGATAACAGGTTTTACCCTCTACGAACTGCCTAACACTTTTTTCACTGCTGTTCACAGCAACTGCTACCATAGAGTAATCACCTGGTCTTAGAGCCATCCTTTATCTCTCTGCACTGTTCCTGCCCACCACCCTCATGTTAGTCCAGGAGCAGATGTTCAGAGAACAGATTTTCCCCTGCTCTGCTGCATGTGGAGTCTGAGGCCTAGGTGGGAAGGATTCAGCTTTTAAAGTACATGATTTAACAAGACGACCTTCATCTGAAGAAATATTTTTAAATGGAAAGTTAAGTTACTCAATGATATAATTTCTTCAGGAGAGTTTGAAGGTTTTTAAAATATTTTTCTACTATATGTATTTTTTAACTCTTAAGCTCACACTATATATCACTTTATTTTTTTTGTGTGAGGAAGATCAGCCCTGAGCTAACATCTGTGCTAATCCTCCTCTTTTTGCTGAGGAAGACCGGCTCTGAGCTAACATCTATTGCCAATCCTCCTTTTTTTTCTTTCCCCCTAAAGCCCCAGTAGATAGCTGTATGTCACAGTTGCACATCCTTCTAGTTGCCGTATGTGGGACGCGGCCTCAGGATGGCCGGAGAAGTGGTGTGTCTGTGCGCGCCGGGGATCCAAACCTGGGCTGCCAGTAGCGGAGCGCGCGCACTTAACAGCTAAGCCACGGGGCCGGCCCCTATATATCATTTTAAACCTTTTTTTCCACTTAACATTATAAACATCTCTCGATAACATTAAAAATTACGTATATACTATTCTAATGGCTGCTTAAGGGTACATCATGCTGACTTAGCATTCTTAAAAGACACTGTACTCAGGGGCCAGCCCTATGGCTTAGTGGTTAAGTGCACGCGCTCCACTACTCGCGGCCCTGGTTCGGATCCCGGGCGCGCACCAATGCACCGCTTCTACAGCCATGCTGGGGCCGCGTCCCACATACAGCAACTAGAAGGATGTGCAACTATGACATACAACTATCTACTGTGGCTTTGGGGAGAAAAAGGAGGAAGACTGGCAATAGTTGTTAGCTCAGGGCCGGTCTTCCTCAGCAAAGAGAGGAGGATTAGCAAAGATGTTAGCTCAGGGCTGATGTTCCTCACCAAAAAAAAAAAAAAAAAAAAGACAATCTACTCAGGATACCCACAGTGATGGTCTAGACAGATTCCTCAGAGCAACATTTCAAGCCAATTTGAGCAATCCTCTGTGTGATATGACTTTGATTAAAGATCCACTGTTACCATTCTTTTCATCTTTCAAGTTTTGTGAAGTTTCTTAAACCTTAACTACAAAACAATTAAAACCAAGCTCTAACCAATCTGGAGTCAACCATGAACCACACACCTCATGCATCTTTGCAATCCTGCCTGTGTAGTAAAGCACTCGTTCTGTTAATGTGGTTTTCCCAGAATCAATGTGAGCTGAGATTCCAATATTTCGTATTTTTTCATTAGGAATCACCCCTGCTGAACACCATCGGCAGACCTTCCAATTAACCTGAAAAAATAAGAGAGCTCAATTTAACACACTTTCTAAGAGAGAGCATGGGTTTAGTGGACATCTTTCCTCAAGGAATTGCAATGGACACAAAACATCATACAAGACAGCTTGGAAAGGCAAAAGAGGGAATGTCTCAACCTGCAACTCCTGTAACCAAAGGGAGGGCTACAAGAGAGAACAGAAAAGACATATCCTGAAAAATAGATAAATAAATCAAGAAAGCATACTCTAACTAATTAATTAAAAGGGGACAGATACTTTTATCAAATGTTATAGGTTTGAAAATATACACGGGGATGACAAAATCAGAAAGAGCTCCCAACAACTACTTTAATAGGAAATAGAGTTTTTAAATTCTACTTTGATTTTTTTTTCCCTTCCCCCTTACTATAGCTCACAGCTAGCAAGGTTGTTTGAGGACTTACATGCTCTATGCAGTGATACCAATAGTTCCAGGATAGCCCACAAAAGTTTACCAATTCCTTCTACACAAAAACAACTGAAATTTTTTTTAACTTTATTTTACTCTGAGGGAGGGCGGGGGGGATTCCTGCATTTTATGGAATCAAGACACAACTTAAACCACGCCCTACACGACTGCACATCCCAAATGCACTGCAGACACTCTGGGAAGAGGGAAGCAGAACTTGGAAAGGGTGAGTAAAACGTTAACCGGCATCTGGGTGACAGGCGCTTAGTTGAGTAAATCCCAGGGATGCCAGCGAGCAAAGCAAGCGAGGCCTGCAGGACAGGAGGGGCTCGACTCCGACCTACTCCCACTCGACTCCGCACTCCCCGCAAAGGGCAGAGACGGGACCAAAGAAAGTCCCGAGGTTCGAGCGCCACATCGCAGCCCGCAGGGCCGGCCAACGACACTCAGCGGTGCAGGAGCTCGGCACCGACGCGCGGACGGGCGGCTGCCAGGGGCTTCTCAGCAGAGGCCCGGCGGCGCGTCCTCGGAGCTGCCGGTCGGGAGGTCCCGGGAGGGAGGTATGTCCCCGGCCCCCGGTCCCGAGGGACCGCACGGTCCCGCCTCGCTGGGCACTATACCTGCCTCCCCTGCCGGCCCAGGACGGCAGGGCCCCGCGGGAGCCCGCGCCCCAGAGCCGCGGCCGCGACGGCTCCCAGCAGCCTCATGGCCGGCGCAGAACAGGCGCGAAGGGGACCCAGCTGCAGCACTGCACAGCCACCGGCGCCACAGCGAGAAGCGTTCGAAGTCACGCCGGCGAGCAGCGCCCGAAGAGCACTTCCGGGGCGAAGGACACGAGGGAGGTGAGAGGAAGGCAGAGGGGGAGGAGCTTCCGGATCTCAGGGCAGAGCAGCGTCCTCCGCTGCTGTAGCGCCCTCTGCCGACTAGGAAGAGAAAGTGCAGTCGCTTTGCCGAGCTAATCAAGCTTTTGCATGTTCCCAGAAAGATGCAGCCTTTACATGTGGAAGTTTTGCCAATTATAGCAACGTGGAGAAATGTTTATAACAGAATTTAAGTGAAAAAAGTGCAAAAATTGTTATCTATGCTACTATTACAAATATGAAAAAATAATTATCTATAGAACACGACCTGAAAAGAAGGTGGAAAAATAATGAATGAACTGTCAATTACAAGTGCTTTTTCTCATTTGAAAACGTTCCGTCATTGTTCGATGTTAAGTCTTTTAAGTCCGGCCCATATGGAAGACAGCATCCTCGACGATTCCACTTAGATCTCTTAGAGGCGTCTCGAACTTAGTATGTCCGAAACGGAGCTTCTGATCTTCCTCCCAAAATCTTCTTCTGCAGTCTTCTTCATCTCATAAATGGAAATTCTGTTCTTTGAGTCGTCAATACCAAAAATGTTAGTCGCTTTGACACCCCTCATCTAATCTGTCAGCATATGCTACAAGCACTACCTTCAAAACTGGATCCGGAACCCGCCCCCTCCCGGCCAGCGCCCGCCGCGGCCCTGCTGCGGGTCAGTCGGCTCTCAATCAGTGACTGGCGGGGCCTTGGAAGCCAGGCACGTCATTTCTCTGCCGAAAACACTCCATCTAGTGAATTCGTTGTTGCTGTTATCTCTATATTTGTGTAGGTTTGAAATTTTTCATAATAACTAAATTTTTTTAAAAAATCTGAAACGGCTTCCGCTCCCCCCGAGTTCCGCCTGCCAGGCCCTGCTTGAGCGGCCACGCGGCGGCTGCCCACGTGCCTTGCTCGTTTTGCTCCAGCCACACTGGCCTCTTGCTGACCTTCACGTCACCAGAGCCTTTGCTCTTTCCCCGACAGTGCCTGGCTCTTTCCCTTACTTCTCTCTGTTCACACAGCCCCGGTCGATGAGCGGTTCCCTGACCAACTCTTCTGCAGGGGCGAGCTCCTCCCTTTCTATCTTCTGCTGCTTCGTTTTCCCTCAGAGCACTTCTTAGCTTTATCCAGACGTTTTACATACCTGTTTATTGTCTGACTTTCCCGGTGAGAATGTAAATTCCGTAAGAACAGTGATTTGGTTTTGTTAATTGCTGTATCCCCTTGCATGTGCTAGGTGCTCAACAAATATTTGTTAATTGAGTGAATGAATGAGATCAGATAAATAGAAAGCAGAGTAAATTACAACGGACAAGAAAAACCAGAGACTCAGTGATGAATTTGGAATTTACTTTTTGTATATCATCCATGTATCAATTTGCAAAAAAGGACTTGTAAGCTGCTTTGATGAATAAATCCATTAATGAATATACTGATACTGGCTCAAGACAAAGTTGATATGAGGGAAGCCATTGTAGAAAAGAAACCCTATTGTAACTGACAAACTAACCCAGCTGGATCTGCACCCTCCAGGAGATCTAACTGCTCTGTAGATTTTACGACCCCTGCTTGTGCGTGTACCTCCCAGCTGCGATAAGATGGTTCTTTGAGAGGTTAGTCAGCCATCTTCCCCCTTGCTAGCAAGCTGTAGTAAACTGCCCTTTCTTTTCCACCATCTTGCCTCTTGACGATTGGCTTTTGTCTCACCAGGGAGCAGATCGTGCCCTTTGTGCAGTAACAATACCTTTAAATAAACTTTTTCATTTATAGACTTTCAAAAAATTTAGTGTTATAAGCCTTTATATGTATTTGTTTAAAATATATAAATTAAATACATAATTATTGTAGGAGAAGAGGGAGAATCCCCACCCCTTTTCCCTAAGGTTCTTATGGCTGGTCAAATAATTAAAAAGGCAGGTTAGCAGGAGAAAATCAAACAAAGTTTAATAACACATGTACATGGGCGAAATCCAAGAAAACTGAGCAACTTGGCCACCTGGCAAAAGCTGCTACCTTAAATATCATCTTCAGCTAAAGGCAAAGGAGGATGTAGCGGGTAGTGGTTTGTGGCTTCAGAAGGGAGGAAGACAATTTACCTGAGATCGAAAAGCAAATGTTTGTTAAACAAGTTTTGCAGGGCTAAAAATGGGCTTGTTGGTGCCTTTCTATCACACCTATTTTACATGACACTTTAGCTATCTTATGGTATTAGCTCCTTCCTGGAACAGGCTTTCTATGTTCAATTCTTTTTTTGTGAGGAGATCAGCCCTGTGCTAACATCTGCCAATCCTCCTCTTTTTTTCCTGAGGAAGACTGGCCCTGGGCTAACATCCGTGCCCATCTTCCTCCACTTTGTATGGAATGCTGCCACAGCATGGCTTGCCAAGGAGTGTGTCAGTGCACGCCTGGGATCTGAACCGGCGAACCCGGGGCTGCCGCAGCAGAGCACGTGCACTTAATCGCTTGCACCACCGGGCCAGCCCCCTGTTCAATTCTTTTAGGCAGTTTGGGGGAAGGTCCTTCCTGAGTCTTCTGAGCCTTCACTGTCTTCAGCTCGAAATAATCCACATACCAAAGTGGTGCATCTTGGGGTGGCCTGCCCTGAACCCTGTCGTTATGTAAATGAATAATAAAATTAAGGTTTTTACTTTAATTTTAAGATATAATTGTTAAATAAAACAGTGTATTACACTGAAATTACCACTTTAACAAACTAAGTTTCCTTAAGTAAAAATTCATACTCATCTTCTGTGTGTGTAGTCATATTTTTCTGTAATTATTATACCAGGTATATTCTTAATTATTTTTATTAATCACCACTTTTAACCAAAGTAATCAAATTTTGTTTTCCCTACAGAGAAAACTAAAAGACAGAAAACCAAGAACTGTCCAGCTAAATTTTTGTGTGTACACATTTCAGTGTACCTCTTTTAATTTTTAAAACGGCAAAATACACAGATATATCATCCAAAGCATTTGCATATTCTGTCAATTCCTAGTCATTTTATAGTGTATAAGAATAAAGATAAATTGAAACTATCTTTAGTGACCAAAGCTTTGTACCATTTTTTTCTTAGAAATTGTGCAAGTATCCAAGGACTAATTTAACATTTTCTAAGGTCTTGAAAAGTTAACTGAGGATCTGAAAAATTACAATTTTAGCTAACACATTTGGTCCTTATAATTAATAGAATTATAATTTTGTAAGATCAAAACCCCTTTAAAAGACATCTGTATTACAATTTCATTTAGATAAACACCATTTTGTATTTTGTAACCTTACATAACTGGTGAGTCAGTGATAACTTATTTGACCCATAAGATCATACAGGAAATTTAGAAAGTTTAAATCATGAGAAGTTCAACCTTAGTTTTATATAAACCAGAATATTTTGGGGCCAGCCCCGTGGCGTATCGGTTAAGTGTGCACGCTCTGCTGCTGGCGGCCGGGGTTCAGATCCCGGGCGCACACCAATGCACCGCTTGTCAGGCCATGCTGTGGCAGCATCCCATATAAAGTAGAGGAAGATAGGCACAGATGTTAGCCCAGGGCCAGTCTTCCTCAGCAAAGAGGAGGATTGGGATGGATGTTAGCTCAGGGCTTATCTTCCTCACACACACACACAAAAATAACTAGAATATTTTATTAGCATTAATTTTAAATAATAAAACCTGTAAGAAGACATATTTTATTCAAATATTCATTCATTATAGTTTGGCCAAATTCATCCACTTATCAGAAATATTTCATGAACCTTTTAAAAAAGTACTTTATAAATCTTATAGTCATATCAAACCTTTATAGTCATTAAATCGTATTTAAAATCTCCTCTTCTATCTTAAAACTTTTCTTCTTATAACTATAATAGCAACGGCCATTATTTAAATTCACTTGTCCATATTTTATGCAAAAGCAGCACAAATAGTTTACTGACTTTTTTCTCTTAGCCATTTTGCACTATTTGGACTAGCTATTCCTAGATTGCACATATGACAAAATTATTCTTTTCTGAATTCATCTTTAAAAATTTTCAAGTGAGAGGAAAAGGAGAGGAACAGGAAAAAAGATGAGCTAGAGCCAGCTTTATACCATTAAAAGATAAATTGAGACATATTAAAAATTTTGAGTTTGAACAAAAATCGATTAAAATCTGGCAGCACCAAACGGGAGGTGGTTAGGAGCACTCCACCAACGGGAGTCGGCGGAAAGACTTTTGTGGAGAAGAGGCAGAAGCGAAGCAAGGAAGTTATTTGGTTGGCTGTAGCTTAAGTGGTTACCTCCTTCGGGAAAGCCTAGTCAGCTGTTTGTGATTGAGCATCTTTAGGTTTCAATTTCTTAACCCCAAGGCCTTGCAGGCTTAGGTTTTCGTTTCCTTACAGAGGCTACTAAGGCATTAAAGCCCCCTCAGTCTAAGGGAACTCCTTGTTTAATTAATTTAATAATACAAATTTCAAAGTATCCCTGTAAAAGCCTAATTGCCTTCTCTCTTCAAGGAGAGAGGACAAAGTTTAAATATTAGCCATACAGTGAAAGAGCCCTGAAGTATGAAATGAAAGGTGGGTGGACTTCTACCTAAGCAAAGTGGTCTCTTTTAGACAAATAACATAGAGGCTCTCCTCTCCAGGTTTTGTGTGTTGTTTGTCTTGGGTGTTGTTCTTCTAACGTGCCTCTCAAGTGAAAGTCTTGTTCATTTCAAAGTTCCCCAAAGTGGTCACTACAATTCCCTGCTAAAGGTACGCCAGGAGGCAGTACAAGTCTGTTAGCTGAGAACCCCATGAAAAATGCCTGATGTTCTATCACATGTAAAACACTGCTATGTCTGTCTCAGGCTTTAACCCTAATGTTAAACTGCCTGACTACTAACCTGAGAAACATGTGGTTAGACCACAACATGGGTGGACACAGGGTCTCTCCCAAAGCCAATTTCTCATACACAAAGACTGAGGAAATTTTTCACAGACGATATAAGATGGTGAGCAAGCAGGCAAAGACAAAAGGTGGGGTTTACACCAAATTCACCAGAGGACACCAAAGTCTGATCAGATTCCCCAAACCCCAGGCGACAATCACAAGCATGACATTGGGGTCAAAGAGATCGTCAGAATGCAAATTTACTGCAAAATCCATGTAATCAGGAACACAGGGGCCTCAAGAGGCCTCAGATATGTACATTATTACCAGACTGAAGGTCTTAATTCACTGCAATGAGGGTCTAGGTCAAGCCTCAGTAGAATCTCCAAATGGTCCTAGCCTGATCAGCCCAAGACCACTGCCTTAGTCCATTCACACTGCTATAACAAAAATACCATAGACCAGGTGGCTTATAAACAGTAGAAATTTATTTCACATAATTCTGGAGGCTGGGAAGTTGAAGATCAAGGTGCCAGGAAGATTCAGTGTCTGGTGAGGGCCCACTTCCTGGTTCATAGGCAGCCGTCTTCTCGCTGTGTCTTCATGTGGCAGAAAGGGCAAGGGAGCTCTCTAGGATCTTTTACAAGGGCACTAATCCTACTCATGAGGGCTCCACCCTCATGACCTAATCACCTCCCAAAGGCCCCACCTTCAAATACCAAAACATTGCCACATGCAGGGTACCATCTGATTCCAATGTGCTCCTGCCATTGCCCTGTGACAGTAAAGGATAATGGAGCCATGAAGGTACAGTAATGAAAACCTATCATTGGACTGCCAGGTACCAGGAAAATCACTCAAGGGGCAAGGAACCTAAGTATGCAACTTGGTATACTTGTCAAGGTCACTTTCATCAAATTGTTAATATCCTTGCATTCCCAAAAGACCCAGCATTCCAGAAAGAACAATGGCTGTCCAAAGAAAAAATAATATGTGAACTACAAGCTACAGAGAGCTTTCTTTTTTATATGGGTTGACTTCAGCATTATGGTAAAAGTAAATTCTGAAAAAAGTCAATTTGGCATCACGTGAAAATAAGGAATTGACATTTAATCTCTGTATGTCACATATTTTATAAGCGGCCCCTTACGAAGCACTGTGGCTTAAGAATAAATATATATTTAATTCAATTTTTATTTGATTTCTATGGTAAATAAATTGGGAGGAAAAAAGTTTCTATGAATTCTCTAACTGCTATATGATGCCTAGATGTTATATTATTTTAAGTATAATTATTTATTAAAGTGTGTTTTCATATTTGAATGTAAAGACTCAAGATATCATCAGCCTAATGATTTAGGCAAAAGGGGAATAATCACAGTGTCTAATGAAATTTGCTCTATCAAGTGAATTTATGCAAAAGTGTTATTTAAAATGTATGCCTTATGACAACTTCCCAATATGTTATAATATGTTATTAGTATGCTAAAGTATGCATGAGAAAATTTTAACATGTTTAACTAATACACGCTCAATTACTTTCCATTATAAAAATGAACTGACACACATGCATCTTATTTCGGTGCCGAATTAAAGGCATGAAACACTGACTAGTAAAATTAACAGGAGGTGATATAAAAAATTAGAAGAGTATGAGCACAATCACATAATTCTACTTCCAAAGTTACAAAAGGATGGTAGTAGAATTAGAGAGTGATAGTGGATTTTCTGTTCTTTTTCTCCCCTTGATAGAAACATTTTCTTAAACAACAAAGACTTAAGAGTTAAGATTTTATATTCTCATAAACTTTAAACCTAACTTTTATAAAAACAGATTAACGCTTGAATTCTAAAATAAAAAAGCTAGAGCTGATTTTTATATGGTATAATTAAAAAGGGAAAAACTGAATTAAGTATCTTGCTCAAACACACACATCACCTGTCTAAGAAATTTTGAGACAATCAATCATTCAGGTTTGCAGAATACCAAATGCATTTTTCTAAATGTCACAAAAAGGCTGAGCAGAGTTTCTCCAAGGACACTCTAACTTTAGAATGTTAACTGTGGAGATAAATTAAGTTGTTTGTGGGAAAGGAGAGCAGAAATATGCCACCTTAAAGTTAAAGGAAAGGTCAATGTAAAGTCTGATGAATGTTAAGAATGTAATGTAGAACAAGAGAGAATACACTGTATAAAGAAGTTATAAGAAGAAAACATGTATATTAGCAATTTAAAATCTCTTTCTTTGAAAATGAACTATTTGATGATTCTTTATGTTCTCGATCAAATAATAACTAATTTCTCATAAAACAGTACTAGTATATTTTGCTTTATTTTTTAAAAAATCTTTAAGCTAGCTGGCTACATAACATGTTATAAAATTTGAGCTAAATAATTTTAACCTTTATTTACATCACTCTAGTATACCCCTAGTGAAAACAGACTTTTTTAACATTTTACTTTCTTATAACTAATTATACGTGATAGAACTAGCTCTACATTCAATCTTGAATATCTAAAAGATACTTAGCCAATAGGAAAATAATGTGGAAAACAAAATCAGCATGTGTCCTTTAAAAATTAGTATGTTTTAGGTCTGGCCCCACGGCCGAGTGGTTCAAGTTCTGTGCGCTCTGCTTCAGTCACCTGGGTTTGCGGGTTTGGATCCCGGGACCTACTCCACTCACCAGCCATGCTGTGGCTGTGTCCCACATACAAAACAGAGGAAGACTGGCACAGATGTTAGCTCAGGGCTAATCTTCCTCAAGCAAAAAAAGAGGAAGACTGGCAACGGATGTTAACTCAGGGCAAATCTTCCTCAGCAAAAAAAAAAAAAAAAAAAAGAATTAGTATGTTTTAAAGCAAAGAGTTTAATTGAATGTTAACAACTTATGCACATTGTTGAAAATCAAAGTTTTATTCCTGAAGTAGGGACAATATCAAGCTAGCACTTCCAAGAACATTCAGATATCAGAAGAAAGTTGCTAAGTACAGTATTGATTTAACAACAAGAGATTGGTCTTATGTGTATTAGCCAGCACCATTACTTTCTCTGTTAAAACAACCAAAACTAAACAAATCAAATGCAAGGCTATTTATTTTTTGTTGATTTTCACAGGTGATCCTTTGATGTTAAGTTTGTCCACAAAAGCATTGGATCTTCTTCCACGTTCAACGGCTGGACTTTGATGAGTTTTCTCCCTGAGAAATATACAAATGAACATTAATACCATTTTTAAAATGGTCAATGGTTTATAAATCAATGCAAACTCAGTAAAAATTACTGTAATTTAAAGAGAGTTTTATCGTAAAATTTCCTTAATAGCTTTAAAAAAACCTATGGCATGTTTTTTAACTACTACTTCACTTAACATTAAAGGGAGCAACAGCTGCTTTCCTGAGATAGATTTAACTGTTTCCGTTTACCATGCTGTCCAACATGGTAGCCACTAGCCACATCATTTACACTAAATTAACTAAAATGAAATAAAATTTTAAAATTCAGTTCCTCGGTTACATCAGCCACATTTCAAGTGAGATTCAATAGCCACACAGGGCTAGTGGCTACCGCACTGGAGAGCAGAGATACACAACATCTTCATCATTGCAGAAAATCATTTCAGAAAGTCCTATTGGACAGTGCTAGTTTACACAAAATGCCACTGATAGGGCTCCAGATTTATGGACCTTCTATAAAGAGCATGCTGTCTCTAACTGGGACCTGGATTTCATAGTTAAATTTAGCAGTTAGGTTTTTTATGAATAAACTTCTCAAAGTGAGACAAATATTATCTAAAATTAATATGTGAGCAAGTTTTCTATAGAAAATATTTGGGCTCTAAATTCCTAAACAAGTATTTTAAAATAAAAGATGCTAACACATGAAATTCTGCACAAGGCTTCTGATTTACTTGACACCCACTTGTCCACCGCTGGTTCTGTGAAGCCTTCCTTGCAGCAATCCTCCACTCTCCACAGCCTAGAACAGATTGCTGTTTTAAGGCCTTGTGAGGCTCGCTCTCGCTCTCGCGCTCTCTCTCTCTCTCTCTCTCTCATAACTAGGAATTGGGTACTTTTTCAATTTTTTCCCCAGAGAACCAAATTAAATTGTAACAGTAGAATACATACGAAATATATAAAAATCTCTATTATCATTAAAGTGTGGTTTCAGCACATTTATATTTCACAGCTATTCCAAAAGGTAACTCCAAAGGAGGCTAAAGTTTTCGCAAAACTCTTCCAAAATATCTAATATCTAATAGACATGTCGTTACATACGACACAAGTGCCTAAAAATGCATTTACCATTAAATGCTGAATTTTGACTTGTTAGGGAAGTTTTGTCAAGCCTTTCAAATACAGCCTCTTTCTCCTTCTCTTATCTCTAGACACCAATATCTTTACCTGGTATGAAATGCATGACTCCTACTATATCCAGATTAAAAACTGTTTCACCAGAATAACTACATTATAGTATATTACTTTTCCTTAGGAGGATTTTAGCCCCTATCTTGTAAAGCATAATTTCTAGTGAGTTACTAATCATACAACCCTAAAATATTATTGGTTTTTAGACACAAATTTAAATTAGTGTGGAATACTCAGATATAACATAAAATTATTACATCTTTCACAAAAGATATTGTTGCTACAAACTTTGATGTTAATCAAAACTTCCTGATAACAGAGGTCAAATTACATAACTTTTCTTCTCATTCTTCTTTAAAAAACACAATTTATTTTAGAAATAACTTTTACCTTCTTTTAAGCTCTCGGGATCCTGAATTCTCATGACCAACACTTCGCATCCTAGTGTTTTCTAGATTGCGCCATTGTCCCCCTGTTTTGTACTTCAAAATCTCATTTTGCCACTCATCATCAAACGCATGAGCATCACCTACATTAAATATCAAAGTAAAGAGGTAAGTACTAAGGTATCAACTGTCAGTAATTGCTTCACTCCCCACACACTTCCTTCTAGCCTGGTGTTTCCATCAGCCTAACCTCAAGGTAGAGGCAGGAAACTGCTTCATATATAGAAGTCTTTGACTCAGAGTAGTATTTCCTTTTCTGTTTGTTCCTCTCTTATTCCTATTGATAATCTGGTTATTGATGATCCGGTTTTTCACACACCTGCCTGGATATCATGTTATTCTACCCAATGGACCCCCTGACTCAAGTACACTAACACACAGTCCTTCTTCCTGGGTCATCTCATAGTTCTCGTGCTTCTCCTCTGTACTTGGACACTCCTCCTGTGACTAGCACTTCCTATCAATCTCACCATTTTCCTACATAACAGCCTCACAAGCTTCTGTTATCCCTTTCCTAAGACAGATACCTTATCTTGACTGTCAATTTATGTTGTTATGAAGTAGGTAATATAACTTCCAAAACAACAACAATAGGTAAATGATAATGTTTTTTCTTTCAGATTGCCTTTATAATAATGTGTTCCTTTACTAAATTTTTCTTCAACATGTTAATTATTGAAGTACTCTGTATATATTTAAATATGACAAAATTACAAAGGTTAAAATTAAAGAAAGGTTAAGATGTTGTGGCTTCCATCTCATTGCATAGGAATAATTTTATCAAACTCCAACCTTAAGAGAATTTCTTTTTATAAAATGATACAATAATTTAAACCCTTTACTACAATAAAACATTTTTATTCAAAATACTTTCTGAAAACAGGAAATGAATATAACTTAAAAATTGTAATGAGAAGTTAGGACACTAGAAGGACTTAAATGTATTGAAGAATAAATACTAAATCTAGAAAATGGAAGGATTTACATTGATACATACCTGATACATTATCTAACTATACCAGAAATTAAAATCTTATCTATACAAAAGCCTAAGTGCCCCACCATACAGAATGGTTTAAATAAATTATGGCCTATTCATGATAAAACTTTTAGGTAACCATTTAGAATTTTTTTGAAAAATAACATCATAGATGATTGTTCACAATTATAATGGTGAATTTAAAAAAGCACAATATAAATTATATAGATAGTAAAATACTAATTTTAAAAAAAGTATATGTGTTTACATATACATAAAACTATTAGGAAGAAATACACTAAAACATTAACAGTAGTTATTTTGGGTTGGGATTATGGATATTTTTAATTTTCTCCTTTTTACTTTTCTGTATTTTTTTTTTTTTTTTTTGGTGAGGAAGATTGACCTTGAGTTGACATCTGTTGCCAATCTTCCTCTTTTTGCTTGAGGAAGATTGTCACTGAGCTCACATCTGTGCCAATCTTCCTTTATTTTCTGTATGTGGGATGCTGCCACAGCCTGGCTTAATGAGTGGTGTGTACATCCGCACCTGGGATCCAAACTCACAAACCCTGGGCCACTTAAGCAGAACACGTGAACTTAACCACTACGCCACAGGGCCAGCCCCTGAAATATACATCTCTGATAATCAGAAATACTTAAAAATTCATTTTGCCTACCAGTAGTTTTACTAAATAACAATTCAATAGATTCCACTTTCCAAGTATAAAACAAAAAGTAAATGATATTCAACATTACTAAAAATCACTATAAAAAACAGATATACTATGGAACAATGAAAACACAATTTTATTACTTTGATAAGGTATTCACTACACACAAACTACCTCAAAATGACATCTTATGAAATGTTTCTACAAAAAATATTCATCAAGTTCTACTAGAACTGCTATTTTAACTTTACGAGGAAGAATGCTATTTTCTGTGGTAACTTACTTTCATTCATATTGATAAACTCTTGATTGACCTCTTCATCTCCAGTCTTGTTGTTCTTTGACTTTTTAATGACATGAGCTCGGTCACGGAGATGATGACCAACAGCCATTTTTTCTAGTCCGCTGTCAGAATCTCTTAGTGCTCTCCTAGTTTCCTTTATCTGTAAAAATAAAGAAAATAAAAATTAATTATCATTTAAATATATATAGAATGGATATAATTATAAATTCCTCAGGGCCTGTTTACCAACAGAAGTAAGACCATACATCCATTGCTCTAAAAATAATGAGTACTCAGTTCCATTATCAAATTGCAGTACAACATGTGGGAATAATTCTTTGATATTTCATGAGCTGCTTAAAATTAAAATGTACAGGACAAACAGAACCAATACAATTTGACCTTTTTCCAAATTGTAATCAAATATTAAAACAAAGAATAACTTAATTATACAAAACTTAGTTCCTTTGACACTGTCCTTGACAATGTAATAGATGGGAGCACATGCTAGCATTCCCACAAGGAAGGCAACTAATTACTCTGCAGTCATGTTGATGGCTTGAATTTCATGGCTCCAATCTATCACCTCTATGGCTTGTTAGAATATTTATGATAGCCAAACACTATTAACATGGTTTGCTGTGGGACATCTACAATTATATTGTTTACATTTAAGATGTATGTCACTTATAGCAAGTTAAAATTAAAATGTCTGAGATGAATTAGCTATATTATGGCAAGAACATCATTAAAAGGTGAATCTTTATACATGAGAACTAAAAAAATGAACTATTCACGCCCATTAGACAGGCAAACTTAATTTTTTTTACTATAAGTACTAACAAGAAGTGGAGAAATGGGAACTCTCATACTAGACTTTGTGGGTGCTGTTTCAATCACTCTGTGACAGTAACTTGGTAATTTCTAGGTAAAGATGAAGATACACACCTCCTACAACTAAACAATACCATTCCCAGACCCTTTGCACAAAGAGACATGTATAAAGATGAATGAGTAAAAAATTAGAAACACCTACATGTCTATCAATAGAAAAATAGATAAAAAACTGTGGCATGTTCATATTTTCTATTTTTGATACTAAATAGAAGTTAAAATAAACTAGAGCTGCACATATCAACTTGAATAAATCTCAGAAGCATATTACTGAGCAAAGTCAAGTTGCAGAGGGCATACGCAAGATTAAACCATTTGTATAAGTTTAGAAACCTATAAAATAATTCATTACATTGTTTATGATATATACATAAGTAATAAAATTATAAATACATGCATGAAAACAATAAATTCCAAATATAAGAAAATGGTTCTCTTTGGTGAGGGAGAAAGGGAAAAGGCACCAAGGAGGAATGCATTGGAAGCTTTAACTGCATCTGTAACGTTTTTGTGTAAAAAGAAAACAAGAGAACTTAAAGTAAATAGAGAAAAATGTTATAACTAAACAGGGTGGAAGGAATATAGGTATTATTCTCTATATCCTTTCTGTACACTTCAAATATTTAATGAGCTAAAATTCATTTACTTTGTGGAAATTAATAAAAGAAACCTTAAGTAAATTGGAGTCAGTAAGGCCTGTAGGGGGGAGCTCTCACACCGTATGTCAATTACTCCAAACAGGAAGAGACATACACTTCCTTCTCTGACAGGAAGTACAACTACTTTACTACTGAAGGAAGATTTCTCTCCCCTCCTGGCAACAGTCCAGCCAATGAGAAACGTCACAGCTCAGCCAATGAGAAGCCATTACCTCTCTGAACTGTTACTTCCCCCCAATGGACTTTTGTTTACAACAGCCCCTCCCTATTCCTCCTTTTACTCAATAAAAGCAAGCTCCCTTTGTTTGTTTTCCAGATTTGCCTGTGGTTCACCACAGTATGCACATCCCAAAATGCGATTCTTTTGGCTATTCCCGAATAAATTCATTTTGAGGGAAAAATAACAGGCGAATTTGCTTTTTAAGTTGACAACTTCAAATATAAATTAAAAGTAGAGATTTATTTCATAAAACAAAGACTTCTTTTAGTGTCTACTTACCTTGTCAACATGTAAAGGTAGTAAACATCAATAGATATTTACATGAAAAAAGGTAGGATGGGAGGGAGGACAAAAAATGCCAGTAAATACAGTTAGCTTTAAGGCTCTTCTCAGTGATGTGTCCCCGGCCCCCCACCACATCAAATTTTAATAATTAACTTTATAAAGCTCCAAGAATGCTTAGAAAATACTTACTCCTCCTGGAGCCCTACGAGTTTGAGTTGAGGCCTGGAAAACCTTTGCTGGTTCATCTCCTACTTTGGAATAAGTCATAACTGAAGAAGAACTAAACGAATGTCCATTTGGATCCACTGAAAGGTCACCCTAGAGGTAAATATAAATTGTAAACGCAGAGAACTTAGTCAAATATGAAGAATTAACGTCAGAGGATTCAAATAAATAACAACACCAGCTGGAAGTTCTACCAAGGATACTAAACTATCAGTATAGTGTATCCAAATGGCACTCCCAGGAAGGTCCTAACCTCCTTCCATTTTAGGTACCAATTCCCACTCTCCTTGTGAGGAGTAATAACAAGTGATTCACTTAGAGATCTTAAGTCTTTGGGATCAAAGACTTGTGGCTTAGATTTAAATACAGATGCTGTGTCCTGAAGCCTTTGATACTTTTACAGTCAGCGGTTGACCCTTGTGGGCAATTTTGTCAACACTGAGCCAATTAGCCACACACCAGAAGTGTTATACCTCCTGTGGATACCAGATTGACACATTACTAAAATCATTAATAATGCTCTAGATTTGGACATTCTGAAATGATCCTCAGATTCCAAACTGGATGACTAAAATGATATGGGTCGTCTTCATATAAAATCAACTTATTGTTATAATGTTAATATTACGAGTAGAAAAGTAAGAGTATTAGTACTTGTTTATAAGTATTTGAACTGTATGGATCTATTCCAGTAAATAAACATCATTCTTGAAATTTCTATTTCCAGTAACTAAACATCATTCTTGAAATTTCTATTTTCAGAATTTTTTTTTAAACACTAAAACTTAATTTCTTAGATGCTACAAATCCTTTTAATTAGACAGATTCTAAATAATAAAAATATCTAAATTCATATAAAATGTTCATTTACAACAGTGACCTTCAGCAGAACAAATGTTTTTGAGGTTTTTTTTTTATTTTGAAATTAAAGCTATTTTTCAAACTTGTAGGTTGTGAAATCAATTTGGTGGGCTGTGACCAGGATTTTTAAAATGTGAAAACAGAAAATATCAGCACACGTTGTAAATAGTATGATCATTTTCTCATGAAACTTTTGTTTCAGGTATATTTATCAAGTACACAACTATTTTGTACTGAGTCATGATGTAAGATATATTTTTCAACCGCTGTGGATCATGGTTAAAAAAAAGTTTGAAAGTCACTGTAAGGTACCAATAACTGAAAACAATGTTTTGCTCATCATTTTTTTTAGTACTTACAAAGTTTCTTTGTAATTCTTGCATACTGTTTTGCATATTTAGCATCAGTCGGTCCATTGCCTGAAAAGGGCTGACATCTGTATGCTACAGGATATTAGGAAGTGTGTTATTAACTATAAGTACAACACAAAAGAAGCAAATCAACTTTCTCAAAACAACTGGAAAAATTTTTTCCCAATTTGTGCAGTAGGATTTCATGCAGTAATCAACCAGGCAAAGATAATTTAAGGACTTATATAATGAAAGTGATTGGTTAAAGAAAATCTGAAGCACAAAGTCCCAAACAGCCAACATAGAAATGTAACACTATAAATACATGCATACATACATGTGTATATACACATACATACATACATGCATGAACATATAAACACACATATATGTCGTTTGTCAACTTTCTCAAAACATAATTTGGTTAATATTTAAATACTGGGTGGTGTATTCTGGGCTGGGACAGCTCTAACATAGAATAGTACACATTTTTCCTTCTTCCCTTTCAATATCCCTCTATGCAAATAAACAAAACTTGGGTATAAGATACCAGCGTCACCTCCACCAGTACCACACGGCTGATAGAAGCTGCTTCTGGAGTAGCCAGCCCTCCTTTTCATCATAGTAGAGTCCAAGTGATAGAAGTGAATTCACTAAAAGGCCTTCAATTTGCTGCCTACCACCTAAGGCTTAGTAGGGCATATCCTTGAAGCATGAGTTATGTTCCTTTAGAAGAACAGTTAAGAATTCCTCTAGAGGGCCGGCCCTGTGGCTTAGCGGTTAAGTGTGCACGCTCCGCTGCTGGCGGCCTGGGTTCAGATCCCGGGCACGCACCGACGCGCGGCTTCTCTGGCCATGCTGAGCCCGCGTCCCACATACAGCAACTAGAAGGCTGTGCAGCTATGACATACAACTATCTACTGGGGCTTTGGGGGAAAAAAATAAAAATTAAAAAAAAAAAAAGCGGCCTACAGAAGCAAACCAAAATCCAAGCCTGTGAACACCTCAAGGTTATGACATGGACACCTAAGGACAACCAATGACAAGCAGCCACATAGGCTTGAAGCTATAGACAATCAATCCTTTCCTTACTTTGCTTCCGCCTTTCCTGTATAAGAGTCTCCCCCAGCTCCTGTCAGTGGAGCACTTCTAACCACTTCTGGTTTGGCACTGCCTGATTGGAATAGATTTTTCCTCAAATAAACTCTTAAAATCTTTAAAAAAAAAAAAAAAAAGAATTCCTCTAGAATGGTGGTTTCTCAACCAAGAGCAATTTTGACTCCCAGGGGACATCTGGCAATAATTATGCTCAGTTCTGTTTGTCACAACTGAGGAGGGTGTATGACTGGCATCTACTGAGTAGAGGCCAGGGATTACGGCTAAACATCCTACAATGCATAGGACAGCCTTCCAGAACAAAAACTGTCTGACCAAAAGTGTCAGTAGTGTTGAGGCTGAGAAATCCTGCTCTAGAAAAATCTGCTATTGATTTTAGGTTTTATCACTGGAACACTCACCAGAAAATAAAAAGTGAGGCACACATTCTAGTGTGTCACCCAATGCATCCTCTACTATTATAAAACAGAGGGAGTGTTTGGTTCAAGGAACTCCTCCACTCCAGCAGGAGGAGTCTTTTGAATCCTGAAAGGCACTGTGGTTCAATGTCAAGTATTTCAGCCCTTCTGGAGATTCTGCGGCGTGCTAGTGGGACTCAATAAAGAATTATCAAAGGCCTGTTTGTCTTTCTACCTTCTATTGGGTTTTTATTGCCAGTAACGATGGGAAATAGATGGGAAAACCAAATTTAGGACCTGCACTTAACATAGCAGGGAAGAACAAAGGCACAGTTAGGAAATACTGATACATCTTTGGGTACACAAAGGACTGAAGTAGAATTAATCTGCATTTTAGAGGTTCAACACAATTTAGAAAATATTCTAAATATTTTGCTTCAACACTAGGTTGAGAATCAGGGCTGTATAAGAGACACAATTCATGACAGATGGAAGGGCTAGTCCAAGGAAGGAGAAGAAGAGGAGGAGGAGAGGGAAAAGATCAGATGTTTGGGTATACTCTGCCCTCTTCTCAATTCACTACCAAATCACCATCAAAAGATGCATCTGTACTTGCTCTGGGGTGGCCCAACACCTTGGAGTGACAAAAGGTGGGGTACAAATTAGAGATGAGATTCCAGTAGGCTCATAAGGCCTTCAGGAACTTTGTACACATGCTCTTCTCTCTGCCTAGAATGTTTTCTCCTGACTCTCAGCATAGCTAATTTCTTCTCATCATTCAATTACCACCTCCTTAGAAAGGCCTCCTCTGGCAACCTGCCTAAACGAATCTCTGCTTCACCTCCCACCTGTCATTGTATTACTACCCTGCTTCATCTCCTTTAGAGTACAGTGACTATCTGAAAATTACTTTGTTGTTTACTGTGTGTTCTCCCAGTCTATAAAAATAATCTTTGAAAGCAGGGCTATCTTCTCTGTCTTATTCACTACTATATTCCCAATATTTATACAATAATTCCGGCACACAGGACGGCTCAATAAATATTTGCCGAATGAATGGACAAATTATCTGTAGCTCAGCTGAAACCCATATATCCAACTGTTTACCAGATAAATCCACCTGGACAGCACACAGACACCTCAAATGCAAAACACCTAAAACTGAAATGGTCCTTTTGACCACCCTGCCCTCATATTTGCACTGAATCAATGCTCTATTCCTTAGCTCCATGGTATTCACATCCACCTAATTCCTCTTGTCAGAAATATAGGCATAATACTTTCCTTCTCCTGCTCTACTGCTCCTTCAGCACCATCAATCACCAAGCTCTATCCATTCACCTCTTTAAGTCTCTCTCAAATGAGATTATTTCTCTTTATTTCCACAGCCATTACCTAAGTAGAAGCTATCACTAATACTTCCCAGAATGCTTTAATACCCCCCTGGCCTCCCTGCCTCCACTGTGGTCCCGTCTAATCTTTCTCTCCCCTGCACGCACAATGATCTTTCAAAAATGATAATCTGATTCTATTATAACTTTGAAAATTTATAATTAATGAAATGATGATAATTAATAATGATGAATTATGAAAATTCATCAACTGCTTCCCCTACTCTTAAGATAATGTCCACAGTCCTTACCAGGGCCGAAAGAAGTCCCTGGTTACCTCTCCATATCTACTCTACAACTCATACTCTAGGGCAAGTGACCCTAAACATCTTTGAGTTCCCTCACCCCTGGGTCTTTACACATGCTGTTTCCTCTGTGTTGAGCACTCTTCTTTTCCCCTCCATGCATTTCCTGGCTAACTCCCATTAATCCACAAGGTTCAGGAAGTCTTCTCTGGTTGACCTCCACCCCACCATTCCAAAGGTCTAGGTTACATGTTTTTTTCTATCTGCGCTCCCACAGCATGCTGAACTTTCTGGGCATTTTACTGATAACTCGGTGCTATAACTGCTTTTTTTCTTCGTCATTTGTCCCTCTAAAAACTCTGGTCAGGAAGGACAAATGTTATATGTCAAACTTCAGGGAGACAAATGGTTGAAGTCTAGCACAAGAAGATAAAAAGAAACTTTTTGATGAGAGTGTAGATGCATCCACAGGAAATGTTCCAAAGTCATGCTATTCTCTGCTACTCCTCAGATGGCCTTTAAGTGTATTAGAAACTAGCATCACAGAAAACAGCACTAAAGCCCAAAGAAACAGGGGTGGGAGAAAAGCTGGTTGCAGAGTAGCCGTACCTGGATGTGGGAAAGGAAAAGCAACATGAACAACCTGGCAATCGAGTCCTGGGGAAGGCAGCCAATCTGAGCCTTTCCACATGCTTTGTCTGTCTACAGTTTGGTGTTTTTACACCTTTTTGGAACGTCATCATAACAACGTCTCCACTTTTCAAACACAACTATGGGGATCTTTTTTGTAAATCAACTGAATATTCATCTATTAAAATGTACTTTTTTTTTTCAAGACTGATTTTATATATGTTGATATGACTTACTTCAGAAAACACACGCCTAACAGTCTAAGATAAACTTCATACATAAAAATGGTTTTCAGTTCAAATACTAAAAAGCCATTATGAAAGTGAGACTGCATGCCAACTCAGTTTGTTTGAGTTAATTAAAAATAAATATTTGTCAGAAAATAGTGCTAAAATGGTTTGTGTCTCATGATACGAACCATACCACCAAAACTGCCAAAAGGCGCAAGAGAACTCATTGCCTAGAAAAAAAATATCCAATTAACTTTGGTTATGATATTTATTATATGATAATCCCTGAAAGAGAAAGAAATGCACTGCATAATCACATAGTTCAGAGCTAACAAAATTACCGAACCTTTTCATCCAGAAGAACTCAACATATATTTTTTAAATTATCTGCTTATAATTCATTGTAGAGCCTGACAGAAGGCAAATAGGGAGGCCATACATCACTTTTAAATATGACTACTTGAGTATTTATTAAAGGCAGCTGAAAGAAAAAGTATTTGCTATGGATTAAGACAAATATTTCTCAAAGGCAATGCAAATTCACACCAAAATTAATTAAAACATAAGGTACAATGATTAAGATTACATCATCTTTCTTTTGCTCAACTATTCCATATTTTTAAAAGATCAGTTAATCTTGCCTGTAACCGATTAAAAATAAAAATTACATTAACAACACTTCAAAAGATTAGTAGAGGGGCCGGCCCAGTGGTGTAGCAGTTAAGTTCGCATGTTCTGCTTCCGCGGCCTGGGGTTTGCCGGTTCGAATCCTGGGCACGGACTTACTCACTGCTCATCAAGCCGTGCTGAGGCGGCGTCCCATATAGAAGAGCTACAACTCTACAACTATGCTACACAGCTATGTACTGGGGCTTTGGGGAGAAAAAAGAAAAAAGAGGAAGATTGGCAACAAATGTTAGCATAATCTTTTTAAAAAAAAAAAAGATTAGTAGAGATATTGCACAAAAAATTTAATGAATCCCTCCTAAGAACTAATTTATGGAATAAGAAACATAGACTTCAGAAGGGATCACACACATAGATTCAGAAATAGAGTCTTTGATAGGCAAAAGAATAAGTATAATGAAATAATCAAAATTAGTAATTCAGAAATTGTATTCCTCAATAGGTAGAGATGAATAAAAATAAATCTTTAGACACATATATACAAATTAAAAACTTTCATTACTTGGAAGTTTCAAATGTTGAAAATAAATCTTGAATTTCTGGGTAAGTTTTACTGTCATTCAGTGATTGATAATTTTCTCCCTGTATAAGTTATGTTGAAAAATAGAGAAAACTGTGTTTATATTAAATTTTATAATAAATTATGCCAGATGATATATACTTATACTATATATCTAGAACAGTAATATCCAAAGTGTATTGGATGCACCAAAAAAATTCCTCTATATCTTTTTACTGAAAGGAAAAACAGATTTCAGATTGACTCTGGCACCGTCACTCAACCTAAATGTCACATGGCCACATGTCTTATCTTGAATTATAAATTGTCTAGTTAAATAAATTTACAGATTAAATTATCTAGTTTTAAACAAAACTAATCCTCCCCAAATGAATAACCAGCTTAAAAATATCCACATAAAGAAATCATGAACTGGAGAAAATGCTAATAAAACAAACATAAGAAAATAGCATAGTTGATGCTTCTCCTACATGTAGCAGGAGTCTGTTTTCCCTCATAATATGGCTGATAAAGATGACAAATGTCAAGAATGAGCCAAATATAAAGCAAAAAATAAAGTATCTATACGAAATATAGGTTTTCATCCACTGTGCTTAAAACCATCAGCATAATGGCTCATTGCTTAATTACAACACTCATTTTAAAACGTATTACCTCATAAAAAGAAAAGTTTTGTATAAATTTTTATTAAAAGTTCAAATAGACTAGGACAACTAGCATGCTCAAAAAGCCTACTGTTTTCTTGGCTGCCCTCTTTTCAAACTTAGCAGTGGTCTTTTCCATCTTCTGCAGTCAACTTCTAATTTTTATTCCTACCTCCACATCTAGTTATAAAACACCGACTTACAAAAAGTCAGATTGGGATAGAGGTCTTTTGTTGCTATTGCTGTTTGTTTTGTTTTCTTTTAATTAATTTATTTTTGCTATCACATAAGTCTTTCATACTTAGACATAAACATGTCAAATATATCACATCCTAGGGGAAAAAAGGAGAGCCATACCTCACCAGTATAAATTATAAATGTACAGAAAAAAAGGTGAGTTTTGGCTAAAAGAGAGGCTAAATGTTCTTTTGAAAACCTGTTATAATTGGACAAAATTTCTATATTTTAATTTGAATTGAATTGAATTTATTGGCAAAGAGTTTTCATAGTTTGAACAAAAAAAATACATTGGTGTTAGCTTTCAAAGATAGTTGCCACAATATAATGTAATTAAAGAAAAATGTATACTAATTGATTGTAGATGTGAGAGGCGAGTAAACTACCTAGCAGTATTTATTATTTAAAGAGCTATGAAACTCAAGGTTTTATGAAATGGGTTGGTCTAAATCTGATATAGTAAAAATTACCATTATTTTAACTTAATAGGTAGATGAGTACTGCAGTTTTTCTTGGGAAAATGTTTAAAGAGATGATTATTAAACGAGAAATAAGATGATAGGTTCACATATAGGTGATTAGTGCTCCTTACTCAGCACTGGTTAAAAAAAGCTAAATGCTTTGGAGTCCATATGAATGTCTATCGTCATGCCTTCCATTAAGGTAGCCACTAGCCACATGTGGCTATTTAAAATTAAATTTGAAATAATTAAAATTAAATTAAAAATTTAGTTCCTTAGTAGCACTAGGCACATTTCAAGTTCTCAATAGCCATATGTGGCTCTTGGTTGCCTTAGTGGACAGGACAGATTCAGAACATTTCCATCATCCAGAAAGTTCCATTGGATAATGCTAGCTACAGACTTTAGCCTACGCTAATGATTCATAATTTTAGACAAAAGTTAATTTATGCCACCATAAACTGGACAAGGTAGCAACTATTTTAGTTTTTCATTCAAATGTTGGTCGTGGCCTTCCTTTGTATTCAGAATTGTTTTCCTACTTGACTTTCCTTATTCAGTCACCACATTTATGCAACCGTATTACTTCAGCTGTATGGTTTTTTTTGTTGTTGTTCCCCAAAACTTGAGTTAAAGCCACGTTAGCAAGGTAAATACAATATGAGATGAGCTAAAATGCAAATAGTTCTAAATTATGAATCTTACAAACCACAGTTGCACAGGAATTTCTCTCTTTATTTGGTTATATATTTCTCATTCCAGCTCATTAAACATACAGGTGTGTAAAGCACAAGTGCCAGGACGGAAACATTTACTTCTACTTCCAATGAATGACCAGTCGAGTTACAGCTGATGCGTACAGGCATCTTCAATAGGAATTTTACAGCTGAATTATAAACAGATCTCCTGTCTACACTTACAAGGAAATAAAATCGCCACTTCTTGCTTCTTCCACAAAAGCTACAAGTAGCTCATTTATGCACATAAATACCAAGCACTATATATAGCCCTACTCTTTCCCTGCTATGGTTACAGCAGATATACAAAATATTTCAATGCTCATGTGAAAAGATAAAATTTTAGAATGCCATATTTGATTTTCTGCCCTCTTTGATAATTTTTTCCTCTGATCTTAATTTTAGACTTTTATGGAAATTGATAGCCCTACAAGTAAAAAATATATATATTATGATACGACTATTCAAAAATTAAAAGAAAACTAATTGGAATGTGAATAATATATATATAGGAATAATATGTATATGGAAAAGAATGTGAAGATTACTTTCATTTAAATGGCAAATGTAATTTTATCCATCAAACTTCTTAGGAATATTTGAAATATTTTGCTCTATTTAAGATTATTGCAAACAAAAAATATAAAAATGTTTTTCTGGAAGTTTCCCAATTGACCAATTCAATGTTTATGAGTTCCAAATATCTACGTTTCAATTGCAGAGATTCATCTTTATAGAAACTCCTGTGGATTTGTTATTCTAGAACTGCCATTCCTGAGGCCGAAAAAACAACAGAAATAAAATAAAATAGTTACAATATATAAATATCCGGGGTTTTTTTTTTTTGAGTCGAGTATGTTTGTGTCCTTCTAGCTTTGCTCTCAGACAAGACTTATGAAAATATACTGCAGTTTTGCATGGCTTTTGAATACAGTTAAAAGTTTACCTAAGTTTTGAAGGTCCAAGGTAGCCATGCAGAAGACTGGTTTTTCCTGGTTCAATGGAGATGAAGCATTATACTATAGCTTTGGCTACCATTTTAAAGTGGGGAAAAATCGTCTTTTATGGAACAGGAAGGATATTTCCTTGCCTGTTCTAATTAAGACATGGGAGGAAATTCTCTGGTGAACAAACCATATATACATATGAAAAATAATGCTTTAAGTTTGGCTTATAATATATAATCCTATGGTCCTAAAGGTTTTGGCAGCACAGTGGAATTCTACACAGCTAACAATTCACTGTTCAAGTATTCAGCTTTTCAAAAGGTCCCTCCCTTTTACATAATAGTTATTTCTTAACATAAGTATTAGTCATATCCTATCATCATAGATATATTCCTCTGTAAGACTTTTCTTCAAATTCCCACAGGACCTTCTCACTAACTTTAAAATGAAGAACTTACAGTCAAGGAATTTTCACCATCATCATGTCCCATATGATTATGAGCTCTTCCTCTACCATCAGAGATGCTGAGCAAGTCTCTTCCAAAAGGCTCAGAAAAACTTCTCATCATCTGTCGCATACTTTCTCGGTGTGCCATAAAAGAATCACTGTTGAAAATACATACAATCATGTAAGAGTAAATGTTGAAATTTAAATCATAAGTAGGCAGCTAAATATTACAAAGAATTATTTTTGGCTAATATGCTTGTTAAAGAAACAAAAGAGTTTAGAACAGAATTATCTCATAAAGACACTATTTATGAATATAATTTATTGACAATAGAATTACTTCATAAAAATCCACTATTCATGAATACAAAAACTATTCTATTTGTTAACCACTATAATTCACTTACGTATAATAAAAACACACCTTTATTTATCCCTTACTGTATAAAAATAATAAACACAAAGTACAACATCTCAGGTAGCTTAAGCCAGCACTAAAGGAAATGGCAAAAAAGGACTTTGCTACCTGCTACCAGGTAGAGGCCACTTTGGGCAGTCAACGATATAAATTCTAGTGAGGACTAATATGAATGCTGGCTTGTTTATTTTTTGACTCTTATTTATGAAATATGAGCACTGAGGACTAAAGCTATGTTACGAACACTGTAAAGATATAACACTATTTTAATAGACAAAGACAAAGCTACAGATCACCTCTATGAGGCTAACTTTCGTTTCTAAGAACTCTAAATACTAGAATCACCACATAGTAAAAATATCTTCTAAGTCTTAAGATAGTGGTTCTCAAACTTTTTTTTGCAGGGCAAGATTCACCCTGAGCTAACATCTGTTGCCAATCTTCCTCTTTTTTCCCTCCCCAAAGTGCCAGTACATGGTTGTATATCCTAGTTGTAAGTCATTTTAGTTCTTCTATGTGAGCCGCCACCACAGCATGGCAACGGACAGTGCTTCCACGACCGGGAAGTGAACCTGGGCTGCCAAAGCAGTGAGTGCTGAACTTGAACCGCTAGGCCATCAGGGCTGGCTTTCAAACTTTTTTTGAAATTACCAATCAACTAGAGAGCAGGTTAGAAATGCAGATTCTTGTCCCTCCAACCTCCCAATGGAATTCACTAGCTCTGGGTGTGGTTTGTGGACATGCATCCCATCCCTGGTGATTTTAACTCAAGCAGTCTCTCACCAACCTTTGAGGAACACTGCCCCTTGTGTGTCTGTGGTACCTGAATTAATTAGAACCCAAGCCTCTTTGTGAGCCTAAATTTCCATAGCTATAAAATGAGGATAATATCACATATCTTTGCTGTTAAGATTAAATCAGATAATCTGAAAGCACAAAGCATATAGTATCTGGCCCATATAATATGTTAAATGCTAATTTCCCTTATCTCTTCTTAACTCATGTTATGAATGCTACTCCCTATTATTCTATTATTAAATACCTCTCATGGAAAAAAAAGAGATGTATTTTATTTAAAAACACAGATAGCAATAATCATGCCCCAGGCCCTATTCTTTTTTTTTTTTTTTTTTAAAGATTTTATTTATTTATTTTTCCCCCAAAGCCCCAGTACATAGTTGTCTGTCATAGCTGCACATCCTTCTAGTTGCTGTATGTGGGACGCGGCCTCAGCATGGCTGGAGGAGTGGTGCCTCCATGCGCACCCGGGATCCGAACCCGGGCCTCTGGCAGCGGAGCGCACGCACTTAACCGCTAAGCCACGGGGCCGGCCCCCCAGGCCCTATTCTATGTGCTGTATAAATATTGATGTTCTTAATCTGATGTAATCCATTCACCCCAAGTCCCATTCAAGAATGTACGACTTTTACTGCCTTATCGCAGTGGTTTCTCAACTTCATTTCAGTTGGAAAGTCATTGACCCACTGGTCAATTCCTTACTGCTCATTCCAGAACTTAAGGCACATCCCCACTGGAGCTCACTTTACCAAGGCCATCTTATTCTTTCCTGTAGTCCACTGGAGCCGCCTAATGGTCTGCCCTCCCTTCAGACTTCCCCAGCTGAGTTTCATCCTCCTTATGCTGCCCTTCCCACTTCTAATTCTAAATCTAATCTTCTGATGTCATCATGTCAACACTATATCATGATATAATCACAAAACCACTAAAAAATTCTGTCTTCTTTCAGTAATTCCAAGCAGAAAGAGCTTTTTCTTTGAATTCTGCAGTATTTCTATACACAAACCTATCCCAAGGGAGCTCAGATTTATTCATGTATCACGTTGGAAGTTAAAAAAAAAAAAGCTTCAAGTGCAACTGATTAGCAAACCTCTTAACTGGATTTGTGTTTGCATAGTTAAAGAGGTTTTTTGTTTTAATTTAGCTTTGGTTAGGTATAGTTTACATAAACAAAATTTATACATTTTAATCGTACAACTTGATGAACTTTGAAAAATGTATACAGTCACAACCACCACCACAATCAAGATGTAGAAAGCCCCATCATCCCCAAAAGTTCCCTCTTGCCCGTTTGCACATAATTATCTCCCTCTAACCCTAGTGACCATAAGCTGATAGGCTTTTGGTCACTATAGTTTTGCCTTTTTCAGAATTTCATATAATAGAATCATACATTATGTTGTCTTTTGTGTGTAGCTTCTTTCACTTAGCATAATGCTTCTGTGATTCATCCATGTTGTTCCATTTATCAGTAGCTCATTCAGTTTTATTGCTAGGTCCATTGTATGTTATGTGATTATATCACAATATAATCACAAAACTGATTCTAGTTTTTGGCTATTATGAATAAAGCTTCTATGAACACTCATATAAGCTGGTCTTTGTGCATACATGCTTTCACTTCTCTCGAGAAAAACACCTAGGAGTAGGACTGCTGGGCTGTATGGTAAGAGTGGGTTTAACTTTATTAAAAACGTGAACTGAGAGGGGCTGACCCCGTGGCTTAGCAGTTGGGTGCATGCGCTCCGTTGCTGGCGGCCCGGGTTCGGAGCCCGGGCGCGCACCAATGCACCGCTTCTCCGGCCATGCTGAGGCCACGTCCCACGTACAGCAGCTAGAAGGATGTGCAGCTATGACATACAACTATCTACTGGGGCTTTGGGGGAAAATAAATAAATAAATGAAATTATTAAAAAAGAAAAAGTGAACTGAGAGTTCCAGTTGTGCTACACTCTTGCTGACACTTGGTATTGTCAGTCTTTTTAATTTTAGCCATTTGAGTGGTGGTGTAATAATATCTCATTGGGGTTTTATTTTGTATTATTTGTCATTTATATATCTTTGATAAAACGTCTGTTCAAATTTTTTCCTCATTTAAAAAAACCTGGTTGTTTGTCTTATTTTTATGGAGTTGTAAGAGTTCTTTATATATCCTAGACATAAGACTTTTATCAGATATATATCTTGTAAGCATTTTTTCCCAGTCTTGGACTTGCCTTTTCATTTTCTTAACATCAACTTATTCAGCTACATAGCTATGAATCTTTGCTAAGTCTTCAGTTTTCACCAGACTATGACCTTTGTGGAGTAGTTTTATTTCTGACTTAGTTTTCTATCTCTGTCTTTCCTTTCATCTTTGTTTAACTAATTCCAATTCTTATAACAAATTACATACCTCTATAAACTGCTTTAGATTATTTTTAGAAGATGAAGAATAAGTGGAATTTAAAAAGTGAAGGGAAGAATTGGAATAGGGAGTTAGAAGTGGACAATGTGAGGGGAGTATGGTAAAAGAGTAAATTGTGTTGATTATTCTAATATACCTTCTGAATTCCCTGTCTGAAAGTTAAAAGGTTTCCATTTTTACTTTATGTTTTCTAATATGAGAAATTTATTTGTAGTTTTACAAAATGTTCTAATATTACCGAACTCAATTTCAGCTAGGAATATTATAAACTTGATTATCTAGTCTGGTAAACCACTGAACTCACTAATTTATATGTGTGGTAGAGGCAGCTTCTAAGATGGCCCCCAATGATCCCCACCCCTGCTATTCATGCCCTCATGTGATCCCCTCTCCTTGAGGATGGGCTGGACTTTTGACTTGCTTCTAACAGGATACAACGGAAGTGATGGCATGTCACTTTCAAAATTAGGTCTTTAAAAAGACTGTGGCTTCTGCTTGGGTGTTCTCTTAGCAGCTGCCAGCCATGCTATGAGGCAGCCCCATAGAGAGGCCCACGTGAGTGAGCTCAGAAGCAGATTTTTGAGACCAGCCAATAGCCATATGAAAGAACTTGAAAGCATATTCTCCATCAATTGAGCCTATAGATGACTGCAGCCTTGACTGACACCTTGATTACAGCCTCCTAAGAGGCTCTGAGTCAGAACCACCCAGCTAAGCTGCTCTTGGATTCCTAACCAACAGAAATTATGACATAATAAATGTTTGTTGTTTTAAGCTGCTAAGTTACAGCAGCAATAGATAACTAATACATGTCACATCCCAAAAAGCAGTGCATAACACATTTAAGACTGCCCTCATTCTAAGTCTTCAATTTTGTTGGTTTCATCTAAAGACTGGGAAGGAAATGAATGCAAACTTATAAAAATAAGTAGTTTGTAGATCTGTTTCTGCATCATGAGAAAATGTTTTATAGATTTTCATCAAAGTTTGAGACTATGTTTGGGATGGTATGAATTACAATATCAGCTTCTATGGCATTAAAAAAACCTCAATTGAAGGTGGAGTTTCTCAGACAGACAGGTCCTACTCTAGAGCAGTTGAAATTGAGGCATAAGAAGACCATGGAACTGTTGATCAGGAGGCACAAATCTCATGTATTAAAACATCTGGGCCAGGGAAAACCAACCCTGGTTTAAATGAGCACTCCCCTCCCCAACAAAAGTCACCAAGGAAGAAGTTCAGAACTGCAGATATTGATTGAAGTGGAGATGCTTCTCTATGTAGCATGTACCCAGGTGGGTGGAGACTTTAAGAATGGTAAGTGACTCTCCCAAGAAACGGTAGGGAGACCATCTGATATAAAGATGGTTCAAATTCAATAAATATTATGTATACTGTGTGTCAAGCTCAGAGGTTGATTACTGGTCTGGAGGAATTTACAGTCTGACAGAGAAGTGAGACTTGTATGTTTTAAAATTAAGATTATAAAACTGGATATTGTATTAGTTTACTATTGCTTCTGTAACAAATTACCA